CGGTTAATGTTCTATGTATATGTCTTTGAATCCCTGATTGTTTTTTAGGATCTAGATCACGTTATTGGAATTAAATGTCTCTACTAAATTGTTATTGAAATTGAAATGTTGTTGTAGTTTGTGATTCTCTGTTTATGTGTTTGAGTGAATTTACGGTTTATATATTGCATTTTTATGTTTTCATGGTTTAGTTGTTTGAATTCTATGTTTTTTGTTATTTATAATTTGAATTATAATATGGTATCATGTGAAGAGAATACATTACAGTATATAAGGTATAGGGTTTTATGATAATGAAAAGAAAACATAAAATATTCAAAGAAGGATAAGTTTTGACTTCGATATCGGATTTGAACGCACAACATATGAAAACGGAGGAAAAAAAACGAAAAAACAGGGATTTGCCCTAACAATTTTTTCAAAATATGTTCCTAACCATATGTAATAGACAAAAGTTTGTGCGGGTATAACTAATTCTTGGACGGAGATAATTGTTTTTAACATTTGTTAAGTTTATTTATCTTTATGTGTATTACATGTGTTAACAGGAGTCAAATTAGTGTTTTAGGTATTTCAAGATTCATCAATATTCACTATCAAAACATGATATTACACAAATTAGAGAACATTGAACAAAGTTTTTCGTTCAACACTTTTAGTACTTAGTTTGTATTGTATTATGTAATTTAATATTTAAGTAGCTTAGTTTAGACTTTGTATCAAAGTTTAGTTTTGTAATACTTACCTTTTAAGTAATTTAGTATTTGTACTAATTTAGTTTTTGTATTATATTGTATTGTTGTATTTTTGAATTATTGTCTATTGAAACTTTGACTCGCTATAAGACGAAAAAAAAAACGTAATTTACATTAGGTATACCTTGATCCAACGTAAATTTATGTCGATGATTATTACCAACATAAGTTTATGTCTTCTATATTAACGCTCGACTTGTTTCTGATATAAAAAGACCAAAATAACAAACATAAAAGTCTCATTTTGTACTAGTGCAAAAACTGTGAAAGTGTTATCAAATAATGCTTCACATAATAATTTTGGAATAGTTTATAAATTGTTTTAGCTTTTAGATGCATTTCTCTTTTGTAATAGTTTATCCTGAACTCGTATTTATTAGGATTAATTATTAGTATGTTTAAGATATTATGTATTTTAGAGTTTTAGTACGCCGATAGATTAAGAGGGAAAAATATATATAAATTACTCTTGATCCTACAATAAACACTAAAGTTCTAATTAAAAATCTCATATTTATTATAATAACATCATTATAACTAATTATTATATATAAGATATTTTCTGTTTTAGAGTTTTTAATTATTAAAATTTTATTTTTAAAAGAGATCTTACGGAAAAGAAGTAGATATACTTAATCTCAATTTTTGAGTTAATCTCAATTTTTGAGGTATTTGAAATTGATAAACGAGGTGAAACACTTGCTGCACCAAGCATTTCTGTAATACATATATGCTAACCAACATGTTTAACTTAGTTGCTGTAAGTGTTCGCTAGTCATTGCAGCACGTTGTTAATCATATGGAATAATTAATGCTTAATTAATAGTTCTATACATTTGTCTACACACTGATATCACTTGTATAAAGTTTGTGATGGCATTCTCATCACCAACGGCACAACATAACACAACACCCTTGTGATCACATCAAATCAACTCAATAGATGTGGTCAAATCGAATCGAAGGTGAGAAAGTTTTTGAGAATCCACCAGCCAAAACTGTACCTTGGGGAAAGAAAGAAGCAATGAGTTGTCATATTCTCCAACTAAGCCAGAGAGAGCCTAATTCATAAGGACCACAACCCAAGCCTCTTTAATTTGCTCGCACCAATTACCAACGACAGCATATGGACGTGAAAGGGACATGCACTTGTGCCACATTCAAATCAGCTACCAGTGATCAAATGGGTACACTCCAACCACTCACTCATCGCCAATTTCAGATATTTAATATACGTACGGATAAAAAAAGGTGAAGAAATCATTAATTCAACTGCTTTGTTTATCTTCTGTTCTTGTCTTTGTTTTTCTTATGCGTTTGTTAAGAATTGTTCGATGCAGATGCTAATGTAGATGAGACACGTAAGGTATGTGTAATAAAAAAATGAAATTTTTGCAACTAACATTTCTCCTCTTGCAGGTTAAAAATTGTTTCACTTGCTTCGTTTTTTGGATGCTAGCAACCCACACGTACGTACTGAATAATATAATCTTCACTCTCTGACACTGACAAGCAAATGGGAATCAATAACTTAGATTCAGCTTGCCCTATAAGAAACACAATATATATATAATTATGAACCAGTACCATACTACATAAGAAAAATGTTTTAAATAAAAATAATAATATATAAATAAATTTAAAATTTACTTAAATGTTTTATATTTCAACTATTTGATAAATATCTGCCTAGTGAACATTAATTAAGTAAAAATGAAAATCTTTGAAAAAAAAAATAGCAAGAGTTAAGTAGTTGACTTGTTCTTCACTATTATAAATATAATTTTTTTTATACAAACAACTAGACAAAATGATTAAAAATAATAATAATGAGTAAATACAGCTAAAAGCAAGCATCTTAGGACTATATGATTGGTAGCTTGCGTTTTCTCGTCAAGCATTGGCTACAGCCATTTGTTTAACTTTCTTAATTACCATCAAATGCATGATATAATCTAGATTAGTTAATGTCTTCCACCAATAAACAAAACCAACGACACATAATTAATTTATACTTCTTAAAGGTAGCACCTTAACTGAAACTAATCCCACTTAATCCCATGCAAAATCGTTGTTATTTTTTTATTAATGGCCACAAACCGTCCTAGTTATCACAACCTTTCAATGGTATTATCCACAACGGCTCTAATTTGTTTTTTACTCATTTTTTAATTAGCATGATTGGATATTTTAATATAAATGTGACGTGAGATTATAGCACCTTAATGGTTGCAAAATCACTATAATATATCATGTGTGGTATACGAAATTTGATGGTAAAATTAAAGAGCAGTTCCAACTATGTTAATAATGTTTATTGAAGAGCAAATAATAGTAAATAACGTTCCAGAGCCTTCTTAGAGTTCTTTAACTTTAATATAACTCGTGACGTGATCTTAATAATTGTTTAAAACGAATTTGCAGAGAGGCAAACCACCTTACATTATTTTATTTATTATTTTTCGAGTAATCAATCTCTGAGTTATTGAAGAAAATATTTTTTTTCTTCAAAAAACTCACCTTTAGATAGCAGACTGAAATTAAGCCCAAAAGATCGGGCCAGAGGCTGTCTTTCAAAACAAAAGATAAATTGTGAGAAATCAGACTCAAATTCTATATATAAGAATTGATGAGCTTGAAATAGATTTTATCAATTTAAATCTAAAACATTTAATTTTTTTAGAAGTTAATTTTAATAAATTACTTTATGTTTAAGAATAATTATTTGAAAATAATTTGGATAATTAACACTTTTCTTAATAAATGCTTAAATTTGTACCTTTTTTTTCTTCAAAGTTACACACATCTCTCTTCATTATCTACCGTTGATTTTGTGATTTTGAAAGAAGCAATAAAGGCCGAGGAATGTTTTAAGTTTTTATTTTATTATTTTTAAAAAAGGGTATTTCAAATGTGATTTCATCGTATAAACTCCTAAAACTGATAACATGTTCAAAATTACCTGACAATGAAACTGAAAGTTGCAAAGAAAAATTTATCCTTAAGAGTTTTATTTACTCATAATTGCTCATTATTATTAAACATCTACTTTCACTAAAATATATTTAAATATAGTATGTTTCATCTCTCATGAAAGATAAGTATAATTTGAAAATAAAAGAAAAATAGTGCAGTTTAAACATCTCATACTACAAAAATAATTTTTATATAATAAATATTATTTGAACGATGTTAAAAAAAATTACTCTCTTCCATAGTGTTGACTATAAGTTTTTTTTTTTTTGAAATTTTACTTTATTCAGTTCAAAACTCTGAAAAAAAAAAAAAAGAGAGATCATGAAGCAACCAAAATCTGTTTCCTACCTTCCTCGAACATTCAAAAAGATCAAAGAGGAAGAAAAATAGTTCATAATTTTCAACCCCTATTTCACTCCTTTCCCTCTATGACATTTATTTAGAAGGATATAAAATCTGTTATTAAATCATAACAAAGAAGGTACTCTTTATTCCTTTTCCTCCCCTTACATTCAAATTTATCCTTTACCCTCTTTTGAACCTAAAATGCCTTACAATACGATCTACAATTTGTCTCTGTTAAAAGGGAAAAAAAGTAAAATTGAAGAATAAAAAAGGAATGAGCACCTTTAGACACAACTCGATTCTAAATTTAGTAAAATCCGAATAAATTCAAGAAGAAAGTGTAGCATCTGTCAAAGTCATGTGCTCAACTTTATTCACGACGTGTACCTATCCTCTTCATCATTATTAGTGACCCCATACCCTACAACACAAAAAGAGACCCCCCCCCCCCCCGCCCCCCCATAAAAAATCACTGTTATGGGTATACTTTATGCCCCCAAAAGTACCACATTTACACCAATTAATATCCCCGTCACAAGTTTGCACTGATGTATTTACAACCACAAAGTTTGAAGATGAACGGATGCGTGGCCAATTCTCAACCGGCCCTGCACTGCATTAAAGCAGCTGACTTTTCTCTTCATTTATTATTTGTTGCCTTGTTTTGGCATGTGGCTTTGGATAGGAACAAACGATGCCTACTTGGTGGTTCATCATGGTATTTGTAACCTGACAACAGAATAGGAGACCTTAAATTGGTTGGTAGGGTGATGGGACCAATAAGGTAATGGTCCGTCCCAACAACAACTCCTTGTTGGAACCTCATACACTTGGGAAAACAAAAATAATTGCAACAGGGTGTTGATCAGGTGGACCCCTTGTTGTTGGTCACCATCATAACAACTCTTGGTGAATGCATCCATGTCAGCCTGAACTTGAACCCTTCATGCTCCTAGGAGGTATGCTGGAAATGCCTTGCCTTGATAACTCAACTAACACACTATCTGTGGAGGGGGATTTCAGGCCCAAAGGCAAGGGTAGCCATGGTTTGCTTAACGCCTCTTTCACAACCTCGTCAACCACCTCCTCTGCCTGCATGCATGCACGCATGGTAACACACTACATGATGAGATATCATAGGGATTTTGTTTGGACTTCACTCAAAAAATTGGTTTAGTCAGTTAATTAAGACTCAATAAGTTCAGGCCTGTTCCCACGCAAGTTTAATTAGCACTACACCACTTGATATAATTACCATTTCTAACTAAGGTCATTTTTAAATATCAAAAAACTGATACTGACTTGTGCATTTACTAATTAATTCATTTTATTTCTTTATTTCTTTCTCAGTGTTTATAGAAAAGTCCATCAAGGGTTAACTTCATAACATGCATGCCTGGTAGAAAAACATTTCACACCTACTTCTACAGGACACCAGTTATAATTTCATCTCAACATGAACTTCATTAGAGCCAATTCGAAGGTATGTATCTATGTGTAACTGTCCAGTTGCAACCATGATCAAGTAGAAAAAAACTGAAAGTAAGTCGTGCATACCGGATAATTCTCGACTGAACTTTGTAGCATGGTAATCGTGTGATTTGCTGCATCAGCATTGAGCAACGCAGGCATATTCTGAAGTTTGATGAAAAATATCTGATTAGTATCACTGATAAATAACTAGCAAAAATGAATCATGCATAGAGACAATAATAATTAGCATGCAAAATACTATAGATACTCACCTGAGAGTAGGGAAAAGGAGCTTGAGGAGTTGGTACTGGTAACACTGGACAGCCCCATGCATCTGCGTGCATCTGAAAGATCAAGTAACCAGAGGTCAAACTGCATCAATAACCACAATTTTTACATCACAAGCCTGAGAGCTAAGTTGCTAATCATAATATAGAAGAAAAACTTCATGTCCTCGTCCTTGAATTCTGAAAAAAAAAAAAAAATATTACCCCTGGAAATGGTTTCCAGTGCCAATTTTCAGCAGTTGGCTGCCACAAGGGATAACCAGGAGAGCTCCAAATCTGCATGCCAGCCGTTTGACTGCCAGATTGTCCCCACATAGGATATACAGGAGCCAGAGGTAGGGTGTGATTAGAATGATATGCAGGAAAGGCCATAATTGGTCTTTGAACACAATAGCTCCTTTCTCTTTGATTCAACCATTTCCGATCTTCTTCCTTGGGTAAGATTTGTCTCTTATGCATTCTATACTTCTGTTTATTTAAAAACTTGTTTAAGTATTGCGGACAAGAAATTGATCAACCATAACCAATTAATATATATAATGACCTGAAGATGGCTTGCCACATTATGCCTTGTCAAGTTCTCCACTTTCATTAATTCCAATATTCTAGAAGGAATGGCTTGATCAATGCCTAGTTGCTCAACTGCCTTCACAAATTTTTTGTGCAGCTCAGTCGTCCAATCTACCTGAGACCAAAAACAAGTACCAAAACTGTAACTCCGTAGAAAGAATATTTTCTAGATTAGTTAAGTTTGACAATTCCATTACTAATTTTCAGTTAATTTTCACTTCATGATTGTGAATATGCAATGGAGACATGTCTCAGCTTTCTTGATAAACTCCAAGAATGCAGACACAATAAATTAGGAACATTGACAGATTAAACAAAAGTTTGGGAACAATTTTCAAATGTGTGCCTGCCATTGTAATTTGCAAGCAAACAGCAACATGGGCAAGAGGGTTAGAAGACCAGAACAGAAACATTGTAAGGAAATTGAATAGTCATAAAGCAACTTACTTTCATCTTCTTCCGACTTGGTCTTATAACACAAGAATCACTACGAACTACTTTATTTGGAGAGTTTGTATTTTTGTCAGTGTTGCTTAGAACCTTTCTTTTTTGTGTATGTAAAGAAGCAAAACTCTCAGCTTTGGAAGCATCAACTAAACCCACTTCCTCCCTAGCCAAAGTAATTTCAGATTTCCTTTCTTGAGGAGTACTTTCAGTTTCAGCATTCAAATTTCCACATGTAGTTTCGACAGATTTAGATTCTCCATCATGTTCCCCACTTTCTTTTTCTGTTGAGCAATTAGTCTTCTCTTGGCAATCACCATCGTCTAACAATCTTGTCCCATGCCTCAATTGTGGGGTTGAAGGAGCTGGATATTTATCATTTCCAGGAGACAGTTCATGGTCATTATCAGGATCATTATCAGTAAACCTGGTTACTTTCTCTATATCAATGGATACTCTACTTTCATGATGTTCATTGTCTGTTTGGAGCTGCAACATGGACACTACAGATTCCTTGACAGGTTTAAGCGATTCAGACAGGATACTTGTCCCAGGACTGAATGCCTGCTTGAGTTCAACCACATAAAAAATTATTTTGGTCATATTATGTTAATAGTAAATGCCGTGGTAGTATCATCAACATTACAGACCTTATGAACCACATGCTGCCAGATATTTCTGAGCTTGTCTTCGGAGAGTGGTTTGCTGAGGAACTCAACTGCACCAAGCTTAAAAATAAAATGTGGTGCAAAGAGTCAATAAGCTTGCATTACCAATCAGAATGGAAGAAAAACGTACTGTGTCAAATGAGTTAAAGATCTTTTTTTTTTTGGCACAAATATTGAACTGACAATCCAAATAAGTTATCAGTAATTTGGTCAATAATTAGAATGAATCAAATGCTTGAATTAACCAACTAAAATAAAGAAAAAATCCTGAAGAATGAAAAATAAGATTGCAGTTGGCTTAGCTCATGTAATATAGCTCACTAAGATATATATCCATGGGTAATGGGTACGTAAGCTCACCGCTATGCACTTCATCATGGTGTTCAGGCAATGGTTCTTAGATGTCACTACATAAAAAATTGGAAGTATCACTGGTAAGAAAGTTTATAATGAGCAAAAAAAGAGCTTTGAAGCAAACTTTTCACAACATTTGCCATGCGTGTCCTCTTCTGGATCATTCATAAATTCAATTGATAAAAGCTACTAAAAAAAATAAAAGTTGCCAGTATGAAAACAGAAGCATGCAATGCAGTATAAGCTCTCCGTAATTGAACTTGAAAGGTCTACTGATGTTTCTCTCCGAAACTGGTTTTGGTCCAGCATTCAAACGAGGTAATTGATTTGCAAAGACCATTATTATAGAGTAAAGATTGGAGATTTAAAGAACTAACAGAAGTTAAACCGGAAAATTCATTTTGGTCTCTATACTTACTAATGGTCGGCAAGTCCTTGGCATTCTCAAGAAATTTGAAACCTCCCTGGCTACTGCTTGAACTCACCTGCAATTATATGGTTTAAAATGATAGCATCAAAGCTGTAATAATATAATATAAGATTAAGATAAGGAACTTTAACATAGATACAATTATTCTCATGATAGAATAGGAGCAATATATATAGGATGACTAAGGTCATCCCTTGTGGTTAGAATTTAAAAGCTTTCAACTTATACCCTTGACAGAAGTATATTTTGTTTTCTTAAGTTTGGCAGCAACAACGACTAGTCAGGAGTATCAATTCCTCCTCGGAAATGTTCACTTTACTTTCAACAAGCATACTAGATATTATCATTTTGATGTTTCTTTTCTAATTTTAAATTTTCACAGTTACAGCATAATGATTTTTCATTTATATAGGAAACGATTCATTACCTCCACTATGGCAATGTGGAAGCTTTCGGGCCTACTAGCGATCGCTGACAAGGCTTCATTCTCATCACAAAATGTAGAAACTGTACAGAAACTCGAAAACTTACTAAACAAATTAATAGAGAGAACGAGCATGTACAGGAAACAAGAATGGGGGAGATGCGGGAAATAAGAAGAAGATTAAAAGAATCATGTGACTTCAATAAAAATCAAATTGTTCTTAGGTTAATCCCCAGACAGAAGATATAATTTCAGTTAAACTTGTTTTATGAACACTTTTTTTTAATAATAAATTCCTGTCTCCAGTGACCAACTAATCCATTATGTCAAGGCAATTGAAAGGACAGCCAATGTGCAAAATTAGAGTAGTTCAGACACAGATAACATCTTTACAGTTTAGCCTATATGAGTCAGATAACTAAAAATGTTTTATACTTTATATCTTCAAAATTTAGACTACATTCAGTTTTGAAAACAGTTATAGTTAGTTGAATTGCAAATAAAGAAGTTCAGCTTCATAAGAAAGAAATACCATATATGAAAACACTGATCATGCAAAAAAATGGACAAAGGTATTCTTTCAAATTTTCAAGGCTCCAAAGGGGAACTAAATTTTGTCAAATTTTCTAGGCTCCATAGAGCAACTAAAATCTAAGACCACAAGTATACAATTGTCCATTTAAGGATTCTAAAGCAGCGTGGCTTTGCAAGATGCCATCGGACAGAAAAATGGGGACCAACTTACCCACTATGGGCCATACGTGGGAATTGTTAGATGTAGATAAAGAACTGAGCCATGCCATAACAAAAAGAAGGAATCCAAAAAGTCTTACCATTATAGTCCATGGCTTCAAGCTTTGCCCTTATCTCGGCAGCAGAAATATTGTCTCCCTCAAGAAGAAGGACCTTGAGACCTTTGGGAAAATCTTTCCATTCATGTAAATCATTGGCAGTGAAAACCATAGCTGGCTTGGCATCGTTTCTCAGTCTCCCACAGAAAGTAAAAGATCAATAGCACTTATCAAAGTCCAATTCCTTCATCACAACCATCAGAACACAAGCTTGATTCAGTAGGCCAGGCTTCAGCATGAGACTTAACATTTAAAAACAAAACAAAAAAACTCCATTGCATACTTAAATTTGTTTAAATGGTTAACAACTCCTAAATGGCCAACAGAAAATGCAGAACGCTGACATGGCACCTAAAGATCAACCCCCCGTCAAAACTGTCATGCCCTTTGGTAATCAATGAAACAGCTGGAAAATCACAAAAAATAGATTCCCACCAATTTTTCAGGAAGCATTTTCTACGAAAAACATAATCAAGGACCTCCTTTTGCACACCAAAGATCTCATTGCTGATTCCACGTTCACAGAACAGCAAACAGACAAATATCATCCCAGTAATTAAGATCTCGTGAAAACCAGAAAAGGAAAACTCAGCTACCATTCGTGACAGCAAAACCAAAAGAAGAAGACTTTACACCAAAAAATGGATCAGGCAAGCTATTCATAACCGTGAGTCCAAGAAGGTAGCAGAAGGCTCAAAAGGGTAGACATGCATGCACATATTTTAATCCAAAATTTACAAAATTCAAAGAAGCAGCAGAGATGAACACTTGGACTTGATCCGAGAGAGAATTAGCATGCACATAAAGAAAAAGGCATATTAAGAGGGGGAAAAAGTGTTCCTTGCGAAGCCATTTTCATTACCTTGGCACAAAAGAAAATGCTTGTTCAATTTCATTGCTTAAGCTTTGTTCTATCTCCTACTGCATTGTTAGTAAACAGAAGGGGGAAGAGGGAGGAAAGAGAAGTAAAGAAAAGAGGAAGGTTAAGTGCTAGCTTTGGAGGGTGCTTCCTGTGACCACTGAGCAGTTGCCATCAGCAGTTACGGCCCACAAGTACGCCTCTCAAAAAGGTCCTTGAACCTTTCTGCCACTTCTTCAAAGGTTAATATTCCAACACTACCCTTCTTCTGGGGTACCAGCAACTTCACCAATCAACCGAGAAGAAATGGTTGCAGGAAAACACGCTCAACTACTCATTATAGTAAAACTTGAGGGAATAGTTTGTAATTGATGTTGGACATTTAAAGGTTTTAACCATCTTATCATAAACTAGGATAACTGCATAGCGTGTCTTCTCCTCATCAGTGCCATTAATCAAGTTATTTTTATACTAATCACTATGCATTTTTTTTTCTCTAAAAAATAGTTTATGAATTTAATGTTGTCTGGTAGCCAATAACTGTGCATTGATATTATCCGATGCAATAACCTTCTACTCAGAAGTTGGTAAATATTTCATCAACCCATGTGGCTCTAAAAGACTTGAGTTAGGAAACCTTTTTTTTTTTTTTTATTGGAGTTAATTTTATTCAAATTGAATAAAATAGTTAAGGAATGATAAAAAAAAATTCTAATATTTAATGTATCTGCTTGCCTTATGATTTTGAATCTGAAACATCTTAAATAATTTTGGGTAAATTGGTAGTTTATTATTATTCTTAAATAAAATATATAAATGAAAATAGTTATAAAAACATTTTTAGCTGTGTTTTGTATCGATAGCAGTTTTAACTACTTTTATTCGGTGACAAAAAGTTCTCCCCAATTTTTTATGTATCATTTTCAATATCTTTATATAATTAAAAGTTTATTTATTATAGTTTTTAATCATGCAAAATTAATATTTAATTTGTGCAATGCATAAACTAGAATACTAGTCATAATAATAATAAAAAACTAGAGATCACGTTATCTTGTTCATTTTCACATGATTAAAAAAAAAGTTTCAATAATGACAAAAACACATTTTTTAAGAGGAACTAGAAATACATGTAAATGAAGTTTAGTTTAATAATTGGTCCAAATTTGTGAAAAAAATTGATGTCCCACTAAAATTCCCACGGAATAAATAAAAATAATTTAAAAACAGTTTGTAAGATAATTTATTAATAGATTTAAGATATTTAAAATAAAATTTAAGAAATCATATTTAAATAAGAATTTTTTAATAATTAAATAAAAATATTAACCTACTAATATAAGACTTAATAAAAACTCATAAATTTCAATTAAGAAGTTCATTAACTATTTGTAAATAACATATTATTTTTAATAAAAGTATAATCTCAGACGAAAATACTCTCAAGATACTTTATAATCTTATATAAAATTCATTTCAACCATTATATTCAAGTGTAATTTTTTATTTAAGCAAAATAGCTTGAAGAGTTTGAAAAATGTATTCACTTATTTTCTTTAGATTATCCATTTAATTTTTATTATACTTTTTTTTTTAAATATGTTCGAAATTTTGCAGTTACAAATTTTGGTTCAAATTCTCTTAAAAATATATAGGCTATTTAAATAGTAAGAAAACCTCCTCTATAACATTATATTTTTATCAAAAACCTATAACCTAGAAACTCTTCATCATTCTAAGCATGAGAGTCTCTGATATAATAAAATATATCTATAAAGAATTAAAATGTGATTTTTTTTATCAAAAATAAATTTTCTGCCATTAATAATATATAAGTTTCTTTTCTTATAAATTAAATTAACAATATCCTAAGACAAAAAAACAATTAAAAAATATAAATTATCCACCATAAGTCAGAGCGTTGTATGTGCTGAAATTGGATGCACATTTCCATAGAAAAACCATGGTAGATGTTAGTCACAACCTCTTCTAAGAATGTGAAAATATGAATAATAAATATATTGTAAATAATAAATTTTGAAACCATAGATTAAATCTAGTTGATATGAATGAGAAAGAAATGATTTTGTACCATGTGGATAGAAAAGAAAATGAGAGATTTTTATCTACTGTTGCCACATTAAGAAATTCAAATTTTTGTATTTCAGTACAAAAAACAAATCAATAACTTATTTGAAATTATTATAAGAACATATCACAGAGATCAATATATTATTTGTTAAAATGAAATTTAAAATTTAAGATTTTAAATTCAAAATTTTAGATAAAAATGAGTTTAAAAATAAATAATTAAATTCACTAATAAAGATTATATATTGGTAAATTTTTAAAAAATATCATACGGAATGCAATAAAAAATAATTTCAAAACAACATAAACACGTATCATGCAATCACAACCATTCAACTGTATAAGAGATAATATAGAGAGGTAGCCTCCTATTTTCTACGTGTCATTGGATGTTAATTTTCTGGACCTTTCTCCGAGAATGGATAAATTATTAAACAATTTTGACTAAAGAAAGACATATCTCTTAAAAATCAAACCCAAAAACATATTACATCAAACCATTATTCTTATTCGGTGTTTGACTCATTGCCACTTGTTTGGTGTCTCATTAAACTTCATTTTCATATTAGAGTGTTGAGTTATTAGATTTCAAATAGTTAAAGGTATGGTGTCAATAATGATTTTTTTAATATTTTTATTAAAGGTTTTGTTTTTTACTTTAAAAAATAAAAAAAGACACTTGGACTAAAATTATAATTATTCTAAAATGTCAAACCAAAATATTTTTTTAAGTTTAAATCACATTTAAATTTCTTATCATGTTATGATTTTCGTTCTCTCGATTAGAGGTTAATTTTTATTCTCTTAGTCAATTTCATTAAAATTGTTAGTTGTTGAAAATATTGTTCATTACAAACTTTTATTTTTAACTTATACCACAAAATTTTGATACATTGCTCACTGTACTTTGTTTTAAAGAAGTACTTGAGGTTTAATAAAAATTAGAAGAAAACAATTGTTTAGCAACATCTCTCTGATTTGGTGGTGATATTTTATATGTCAGTGCCAAAAAGATATAAACATCACACCAAAATGAAGGGTAAAAGATTAAATTAAAATAAAATCAGAGATAACTTAAAAGATTAAATCTAAACAAAAAATACTGATTTTATTTATTTTTTACTGAGGTAAAATTTAAAAAATTAAAGTTATATTAATTCAATCAACCTTTAGTTTTACTTTACAATATATTTTGAAATAACATCGTACAAAAAATATTTTTTATTATTTTACAAATTAAAACATTTAAACAATTAAGTATGAAACTAGTATATAAAAAATAAAAATACAACTTTAAAAATATTTCTTTTTTCAACAAAATAATAATAAAAAATGAATTAAAATAATGATTACTATTATTGTTCTTATTATAAACATTAATTACCCTCCTAATATTTTTAAATCTCCAAAAAAAATTGTTTTAGTTAAAAATCATCTACAATTTTTAATCCGAAATTCCTCAAACCAAACAAATACAAAAAAAAATAAAAAAAATATATAAATAATAGTTATCATCTTGATATCACATCAATCATTCATCTTTTTTGATGTAGATCAATGTTTTCTGTCTTTCTATTTATATCCTATTTGTATTTTCCTTTTTAGAATTAATGTCTAACATTGTCCATGAAATAATTGAGTACTGAACAAATGAAAACTCAAGGGACCAATATACTAATTAAAATTAAAACTTATGAGTTCAAGTACATTATTTAATTTTTCAATTACAAGATCAATCTTACTGATTTTAAAATATGTAGTAGAATTATTTAAATACCAAATTATTATATAGTGAATTATCAAATAAAATAATTTAAAAAGTATTTAAAAAAAATTGAAACACATATAACATGGATGTACAAGTCATCCTCATGAATTGGTGATCTCTTGCAGCATATTAACTGCATACTCTATATATGAATGAGGGTAGAAAAATGTTGAGAATGTGAAGGTGCAAAGAACCAGTACAAAAATTTCATCCCTTCAATGAAAAGAAATGTGTGTAAAGAAAACATGATCTGTTTGGTAATGAATGAGTAACAGAAGTTTGTTTTATTAAGGAATCTGTGGGTGAGACGGAGTTTTTTAATATAAATATGTGAGTTTAGCTTGTCGTGGTGATGGTGGATAATTGTGATTTGAAGTGAATGAGAATATATGTATGGAAGTGCAGAAAAAGAGAAAAAGTAGGGTTGTCATCTTATACCGTTGTCAAACATGCAAGAATCCATTAGTGGAAAAGAGACAAAGGTTGAGAAAAAAAAGTAGAAATGGTGTGTCAGAGTTCTATTCACTAGTAACCCTATCTTTTCAAACTCTAATCAATGATTACCACTCTGCCACACATTTGCATCCCAACGACGTGGATGAATCTCGTCCACCACCTCTAATAGCAAGCTTTATCATCGCTTAATCATATATTAAGTAATGCTAAACAAGTTTAAATCATCCTAAAATTTTGTTATCATGGAAATTAGTTTACTTTATCTTATTTTTACCCACAATTTTAAATTTAGCAACTAGGAAATTTCTCTTGAACTTGAAAAGAAAAAGTATAGGGTGGGCAAATTAGTTAATTAATTAATATAGTAACAAAATAATATGTCTTTGAAAGTAGATGAAAATTTTATAAATTTTGTATGAAAAAAA